GGTGATGTATGATCAATGGCTAATCTAGATGACGTGGACGTTCATCACAAATTGTTCCAGACAAGGCTTTTTTAGCCTCGATCATCCTGCCTGAACTTATATTTTCACTAGGACAATGTAGACTTTGCTTAAAGGGAGCTGGAAACCAGTTTACAGTTGAAGGAAGGTGCCAGAAGTTCCATATGGGTTTCATTGCAGACAATCAAATTATGATAAGGTGGCATTATTTTTCAAACATGGCAAATTGTGATTACTTAACTAGTGTTCCTGTCTGTTTGCCCTTTGAAGCCAATAGAAAGGGAAAAATACAGACTGCTTCTGCACAGATGAAAAACAAACTGACACCACGAACACCTGTTTGCTTAAAAGAAGTTTCCTGGAGAATGTTTGTGTGTCTGTCTAAAATTTCTGTTTGCTGAGAATGAGCTGGAGGCCTGATGAGAACAGCAAAAACATAAAATGGCATACTTGCCGTTGGTATTTTTAAATGTATCCTTCTAGGCTTGCTTTGGGCATTCAAAATCAAATACAAATGTAAGTTCTCTCTCTTTTTTTTTTTTTTACTTGAAAACAATATAATACACACTCTGTTCTATTCTGTACTTTTTTTGTCAGTTAACACTGCTTTTTATATCTGTATAGCTTCCTCATCTGTAACACTTGTGTACTCTTCCATTGAATGAATGTACCATAATTTATTTACCCACAACCCTATTAATGACATTTGGCTGGTTTCCAAATATTTGTTATTGCCTCATTTCAGTGAATAACCTCATGTATCTGTTATTTCACACATGTGTGAATTGAGGTTTTGCGTTAACTCTTAGACATGAAATCACTGCATAAAAGAATATATTCTTTTTTTAAACGTTGGGAGATAATGCCAAAATTTCAGCCCTCTATCAAAACTGAATTAATTTACTCTCCGATCAGCAATGTCTGAGAGAGCGCCTGGTTCTTACCCTAGCCTTCCAACCAAATTTTCTTAAACGTTTGGATTTCTTCATTTTCAATTTTTTTTCATAACTTCTGCATTTTAAGTCGAAGTTACAAAAAACCTCTCAATCTAAAATTATCAAATGCTTTCTTGTGTTTTCTTCTAGTATTTTTATCTATAAGGTTGAATTATGACAAGTTAATTTTTTTCCAGATATAACCCTGTTGTCTTACATCTTTTATGAAAAATTCCTTCTTCACTTTGATAAATCTGAGGCATCCTCTTTATCACACACTACATTCCCATATGTCTTTGGGTAAAATGTGTCATATGGGAACATGTCAGTCGGGCCCTTTTAGAGCTTTTGTACTAACTCCTGCTCTGACTTGAATTCTCCTATTCCCGAATTTCATGTGACTGATTCTTTCTGGTCATTCACATCTCTCTTCGGAGGTTCTTCATGAGAGATGCCTTTCCTGTTACCATACCATGTCGCCACTATCCAGTTATTGCTTTAATTGCCAGTAGAGCACATATGTCTGGTATTTTCTCATTTCTCTAATTATTTAAAAATGGACACTCTCTGTCTCTCTACACACACACACACACACACACACACACACACACACACACACACACACACCAGGGAACAAGAATAGAGAAACAAGGGAAATTTAAATAAGAAAATCTTTGGCGAGAAGGTAGTATTTGAGTAAACATCTGAGAAAAGGAAGACGACGAGACAATGCAACACAGAGCTTCAGAAAAGCTTCTTTCCTCTGAAATCATTTGGGCCTGGGGTCAAATCCAAGTTCCTCTCTATGACCATAAAGCAAGTTATTTATTCTTTTCACACATCAATTTATTCATCAGTAAAAATTAGATCTTTTTAGCTAGCTTAGCGTTGAGCCTGACACATAAAGCTTAGTCGTTTTTATTATTACTATAGTTATTTTTCCTTCTCATGACACATTCTCCAAAGAATTCATTTCATGGCTGTGAAATATTCTATCATGTGGTCATAGATAAATGTTACATGTTAATACCACATGCTGCTTTATTTATCTATTACAGACTTTTTAAAAATTATTTATTCTTACTCTTCCAGCACTACCCTATCATGCTTTTTTGAACTTTTTAATCTTAAAATCATTGTACATTCACATAGTGGGTGTTTGCCGAGAAGGGCAGTTATCATCTGAAAGTTTCACGTTGCTAGACTGGTTCTTTTCGAGTCCCTTGGTTGGGAGAACGGGCTTCATGAGAAGATATTTTTTTTTTGTCAGCACCCATTGGTATTTTCAGGTTGCCAGCCTCTTCAGCTCCAAGTCTTTTTTGTGGCAAAAAAGAGAAGCCAGGAACTTCGCCACCATGTTTTCCTCTGGGCCCCTAGCTGGTCTGCCTTCTCCTCTCCTTTCAAAGTCTTCTGTGTTCGCTTTCTACATAATGTTGGGGATCTTCCATTGTGCTTAGTGAAGGAATAAGGAAGAGTTTGTCGTCTCCATCTTCCTGGAAGTGGAAATCTTATGTTCTTTTTTTAAAACCCAATCTAAGGACAAAAATGTCTTTCCAGAAAAGGGTTCAAGTTCAAGCTGTGGATTTTGATTTGAAAAAAAAATAAAACTCTCACTCAGACCACCTGCTTTGCACGGGGCCAGCAGGTCTCGTCGCCCCTCGGTTGTTGTCCAGGTCTTGAGACACTGCCGCCTCTGCGAGATCGTGGAAGTGGAGGGCCCATCTTCGGGCGGCTGGGGCGGAGGAGGAGGCTGGAGGCGCGTCTACTCCTAGAGTCTGTCAAACCGTGTCTCCCCCAGTGAGAGTGCTCCCCCTGGGTGAAGAAGGCCACCTGGCCCGTTTGCTTTCCCCATCTACGTGGCCACGTGACGTTCTAGCCGCTCATTTCCTTTTCAGTTGACTTCACTGTATTCCGTGTCATTCCCAGGAACTTCGATCAATGTGCTCTGTGTGTTTAGCCCTGGAATCTCAGAGAAGAATCAGTGTCTCTTGCTCCCGTCAGGAAACACCCAGTCTGGGCACAGGGGGCCTTAGACGCAGACCCTTCCATCCACCGTGGTGAGCGCTGGGACGCCAGCCCACAGGCTATGCGACCAGACCGGCTCAGAGCAGCCGACGCAGTGTAGAGGTCAGGGGACCCTCCAGAATAGATGCTTCCCTGCACCCCACACCCACACAACCTCTTGGAGGACTTTGCCCACAGTCTAAAGTAGCAGCACGCTGGTCACTCTGTGTTTGTTCCTTCATCTTCAGTGTCTTCCTTGCAACCTTCACCGCCTGAGTCACATGTCACATTTACTGGTTTATTTGTATCTGGAGGGAGTGGGCAAATCAGCTCTTCCTCCTCTACCCACCTCCAGACCAAGCTCCGCACTGCAAATCCACAGTCCCCGGATGTGTTCTACTTATCACCTGCCACCCCTACCAGTGAATCAAACAGCTTTTCAGATCTCAAGAGGGCCTTCCTAATGAGAGCGTCCATGTTTTTGCAGGAATATTTATGACGTTATAAAATGTGCCTACTTCTTGACCCAGAAATTTCACTTCAGGGAATTTACCCAAAGGATAGATACGCATAATGGATTAAAAATATAAGTGTGGGGTGTTCATTTTATACCTCTTATAACATCCTAGATGTAAAACTATAATCACCATAAATGCCCATCAATAAGGATATTAGATAATAAATAACGTCACACGCACACAGAATACTGCGTGGGACATGAAGGATGATGCAGATCTAGCTGTGTGGCGACGAGAAGATGTCTGAGCTATTTCGTTATGTGAAAAAAAAATGAGTTGATGCAGATAGCACCATCCCACTTGTATAAAATTTATTTACATCCATTCATCTTTTAAGTAGTCAAATAGTACATATTTATTGAATGGCTGCTGTGGGCCTCCCTGCCCTAGAGAAAAAGCAGTGAGCAAAGTCAAGGTAACCTCTGTCTTTGTCAAGCTTACAGTCAAGTGCAAGCATGAGGAAAGGAACAGATACTGAGCATGTAAAGAAAAATGTTGTAACAGCTAAGACGGGAAAGGACAAGGGACAATAGTAGAGATGATAACGAGGGCCGGAGAGGTGACACTTAAGACTTGAATGATGAATGGAAATTACCCACGGGCAGACAGAGGGGAAGAATGCGCCAGACAGGAAGACTTGAGGTTGAAACTAGCTTGTGGTGTGTGTTTTTGAAACTCAAAGAAAGCTGACCAGAGAGAACGAAGGGAAGGAAAGAGCGCCTGCCACACAGGGGTTAGGGACAGAGACATGAGCCAGACCCTGTATCAGAGTTTGGACCTGACTCCCCAGGCCATAGGAAGGTCTTTGGAGGGTGGTAAGAAAGGGAAGAATGGGGTCTGCTGAGTAAATAATGGCTTGAAGGGACCAAGGGCACTAGCAGACAGGGCAACGGGGCCGTCGGAGTCACGAGGTGGAGAGATGGCCAACGCTGGTCCAGGGAGGTGGGAGTGGAGATGGGAAAAGGGAGACAGGTCCAGAATGCATTCTACACCTGGGTCAGTTAGAGGAGAAAAATCAGTCCCTATACTACCTTCTTTGTACTGATTAACAACCAGATCCTAACAAAATAATTATTATTTTAAAATATAAATACGTTTTTTTAGTTGGTATGTGTCACCATTGTGGAGATTGTGGAGAATCTAGTGGACACGTCTCTGGGGACCACGTACGAATTGTTAGGCTAGGAGACCACAAAGATGGAGACCCACCGGCATCATAACACCCTCTTTGCAGAATTGGTAGAAAAGGGTTTTTGTTTGGAATGCAACGTGCACTGCTGTGTTTGTTACCCTCTGGCTCCAAACAATGTCTCTCCAACTGACTGCAAATGCTGAATATGTTAGAAAGAGGGTGAGGGGAGGAAGAGTGACTCTCATAAGCGCCTGATTGTTCCACATGCCCGTGGGCAGAAGAAGTATGGCTGGAATTAAGGGGTAAGGGAGAAGGGGACGCGAAGCAAAAATATTGCTTTGAGAGTCTACATTCAACAAGTTGCAACTGTGAAAAACTCTCTTTTGCTCCTAGGACATAGTTGAAGGCAAGGGCAAAGGACAGGAAGTCACACCCGTGAGTTGCTCCGTCCCCGGGGACTCTGAAGAACTGGAGATTGCAAAGGAGGACCCCCAGACGACAGATATAACCGAGAATAATAACTCCATCATGAGCTTCTTTAAAACACTGGTGAGCAGTTACCTTCATTTTTTTCCTCGATTCTATTGCTCAAATGTTTTGTTATTCTAAGAATAATGCACACGTTAGTGTCGTCGTTCTGAATGGGGTGTCATCGTGATGCAGCTGGGACACTGGACAACAGTGACAAGATATGTTTTGTAAGGGGATTGTGTTGCCCCAGGCTTTTGGGGAGGGAGACTCCAGAGATGGGAACTGTGAAACGAACAGGGGTACCCGAACTGTGTAACGTGAGCTGTGTCCTGATGGAGCTCTATTGCAATTGAATGGTCATTGATCATAAAACGAATTGGAGAATACCTCCTCTAGCTGTCGACCTGTTGAAGCAGCTTTGCCATTCACACGGCAAATGAAACTGTAGAAACCACTTTCTATCTAGTTCCATCGAAGTCTATTTGAACTGGACGGAGGCCGAGACCCATGTCTTGCACTGCCTGTTCATCTCTGACTCCTCAGGACAGAGCCCACGGCCAGGCACATGCCAGACACTCAGAAATGGGCTGGTGAATGAACGTGTCATTAAGCAGACAGCTCCAAGTGCGGTCGGGCTTTTCCGAAGGCCAAGACTAACTTCAAAACATAAAACCAAAAAAGACGATAGAATGTGCCACAAAGAGCAAAGGTTTGTTCATTTGTTTGGGTTAGTGGCAGAATTGATGGAAGGCCTGTGGCCTTCCAGGAGACAATTTTGAGTGTGGTGAAACTCTTGGTGAATATAAGATCTGATGAATTTCATTATAAAATATTGGTTTTTGTTAACTTTTGTATACCTGGGTATACCAGAAGTCTGTGAGTTTCTACTGTACTAAATGGACTTCTCATAATATTTTTTACATGTATAGTGAACTGGACCACCCTAAAAAAACTATATATCTATGAAATAAAATCATCCTAAAGAGCTATGATTTTTACTATTTGTTTTTCTCAAATTTTTAAGGTTTCACCTAACAAAGCTGAAACGAAAAAAGATCTGGAAGATACGGTAGGTAATTTGAAGTGTGTTTATATTTGGGTTTTTATAGAGAATTGGATTTGGATTTGTATCTGCTCCATTGTTTCTTGAATTTTTATGCATGTGTACATATACATATGTACATATATCCATATTTGTTTGGCAATTTGATCGTGCTGTTAGATTGTCTTTAAAATGTTTCATTTATGTCAATGGTATTTGGGTGGGAATTTTAGAGGGAAGCTTGAAACATTTGCCAATCCTGGCTAAATAATGTCACTATAACCCATTTCTTATGCAGAATAAGAACAGAACAGTAATAATATATGTCATCCTAGTCTTTTTAGTTGTATGTACAGAGACAAGGGAAAATAGTAAAAATTAGCTCCTGGAAATGAGGAAGAGGTAAGACTCCATTTAAAGTAGAAGAAAAGGCTGCTGTATTTTTGGGTTTTTTAAAAATATGTTCTTTGTTTGTTTTTCATGTAATTTGAAAAAAAAATAAATCTTCACTTCAAAGGCAATTATTTGACGAAGCGAAAGTGTCACCAGTGGACACTTGCCAAGTGAAGAAACGTGTAGAGGAGTTAGGATGCCCTAGAGAGCCTAATGTCTTCTCTGTCGTCTTGGAAATTCAGCCAATTCCCTTCAAAATAAATTTTGTTTGGAATGACTAATTTCTAGAGGTGTTTTCCCTTTACACTTGACAGACTGATTACCTCTAGTAAAACACATAATTTAAGTTTCACAGGAATCGTGAGGAAAGTTTAACTTGGTGACAGATAAGTGTCTTGTGTCCTTCTTTTATTAACTTCAAGTGCTTTGAAAGACACTGCCTTGGCCAGCCTCATACATCTGCTCCCCATATTTAAAGGGGCTAAGCTGTGAAAAGGATCCTGCAATTTGTCTCAGAAGACCTGCACTTGAGTGCTGGTCCTTGCAATTTGTCTCAAAAGACCTGCACTTGAGCGCTGTTTCTGCTACGTGATAGCAGGACCAGCACTCAAGTGCAGGTCTTCTGAAACAAATTGCGTAATCCTAACCGGTCTGAACCCAACGTCCACATCTCTAATATTTGGACAATAAAAGTTCTATCTCCCCGACCCAGGGTTGAATGGAGGTGTGACGATGCCTGGTAGACCACAGAGCTCTCTTTTCAGAGCTCCCTACTTCCATACACACTGCAAGACAGACTGAACACCATCATTACATTTGTACTGTATTGATCGGTTCCCCTAACATTCTTTTTTCTCTTTTATTGAAGAAACCTATGTCTGAGGCATCTACACATTTTCTTATAAAATTATTCGTTTGCTACAAGGCAGCTAGGGTCAAGTTCAGTGAATGGTTGGGTCCAGTGGTTTTTCGGTTTCGGTGTTGTGTTTTGCATTGTTTGAGGCCACATAGTCAGCACAATAGGCTATAAATAGTGGAATATGTGGGTGTGTTGGGTGGCTCCCCAAGTGACCTGATGCTCTCACGCCCTTCAGCTGCTCATACACCAACACTCTGCCTCCACCCAGAATGTGGTCCTAGCTGAATGGGCTGAGCTGATAAAATCTCATTGCCCAGAGCACTGAGGGGTCACCGCTGGTGGAACTAGGTCTCAGAAGAGGGTTTTGTGAATGTAGGTGGTCCATGATACCCACAAACAGACCTCTTTCTACAAACGCGGTTCTCATACTTCACCTTTTAACATCTTTTCTACTGAAGTTCTTAGAGTCACGCTTTTGAAACGTCTGTACTGTTTGTCCATCTTCCCATTTGGCCCTGGGCAGTTTTTAGCCACTACGCATTCCTCACAAAATTCCCTGCCATTTGTAATTTGAGTCAACAATTCTGAATGGCTGTGGCTGGGCTATTTCAGTTCCAATCTTGCCCTACTTTGGCTCCGTGAACTGGTTCATACTAGAAATTTCTTTTGCCTGGGAGATCTGCCCATCTAGAAGTCAGTTGAAATTTTTGTGGATGAAGTGAGTAAATATTTGCTTCCCTGAAGTTTCTAAAATTGCATAAAAGGCAATCGGTTTGAGAATTAAAGTCACTCAGTGGTAGTATACGCTTTGACTCCAGGGTAGAAAAATCAATCGTTTGTCTTCAGGTATTTTTTTCTCGTCCATGTGACAATACCATTTAGGTATTTACAAGTATCAAGTAGGGACTGTGTTATCTTTTAGATTTTTTTAGATTTCTCACCTGGCTATTTTATGTCATACAGACAGAGTTCAAATGTTCTGTCATTGTCTTTACAAATGGATTTGTGTTAATCTGGGTGATTTAAATCGGTCGCCGTGTTGAAAATCCATGTGTACTTGAAATGGACCGTGAAAATGCTCCTTAGCAAATCATCTTTGACAGTTTAAAAAAGATAAACATTCATGTGCTGTCTTGTAGTTGGGGGATGGGGTGATATACCAACGGTTAATTGCCAAAGTGTTTTAACGCACTTTAAAACAACTGGAAAAAAAAAATGGATTTTGTTTAAAAACAAAGTACTAAGCTGTGACTGCTGTTGCCCGCAAGGCATCCAAAACAGAAAGCGTGTGTGATGGACAAGCTGGGCAGAAGACCTCCGAGGTCCAGGCTAAAGGAATGCCAAAGTGTTTTAACGCACTTTAAAACAACTGGAAAAAAAAAAATGGATTTTGTTTAAAAACAAAGTACTAAGCTGTGACTGCTGTTGCCCGCAAGGCATCCAAAACAGAAAGCGTGTGTGATGGACAAGCTGGGCAGAAGACCTCCGAGGTCCAGGCTAAAGGAAACAAGAAAAAGCCTCTGCATAGCCCCAGGCTAGGGCTCACCTTTAGGAAATTCTTTAGGCATAAGGTCTGTATCTTCCAAACGAGGGGGCAGGGGAGTGGGGAAGAACCCTGGTCTTCACCACGTGATGTACGTGTGGTTCCACATCGACCCAACTGAGCTTCTGTGAAGACAGAGCCTTGAGTGGCGGGGATCTTTAAATGGGGGTGAATGATTCTGTGAATCACATTTTAGTAATTTTTAAAAAAGTTCTTTATAGTTATAAACAGATTAGTTTCTTCCTAGTGTGGACCAGGGTTCTGAAATTACTCTTCTAACCCAGTGTTTCCCAAATGTTGAAAATATACACACCGCCTTCATCATTTTTGTCATATATTTTTATTATTTACTTGATATTTTTATATTGGAGTGAACCCATTTCCTACTTAAAATTATCTTTAATATCTTCAAAAGAAACTTTAATATTACATCCTACATAGAAAATCAGAGTCGACATAGAGGAAGGTAACTATTAATATGGCCAATAAAAAATATATTTTACATTCTAGTTACCTGTTTGTTAAGCTCTGAATCTAAGGCCCTTTCTAGCTTTATGAAAAGGCAATTAGACAGCAGTAGAGAAATGTTAAAGATATACCAGCAGCAGACCAAGACTCCCCCCGAATATTCTTAGAAGGATTAAATGAGTTAAAAAAGAAAAAGTATTGTCACTATTTGATTGTGAGTTAATGTCATATCTCTGTACAATGTAAAATCATCCCTGAATCAATCAATGGTATGCTTTCTACACTTTGGGAAATACTATTCTAACCTCGAGATAACAATTTCATCTTTCTGTGGTCTGTTACATTCATTCCCAGTATTAACTAAGCTTATACTGATCCCATATAAAAACCCATGCAGAACAAAACAATGCGTAAAGGCAGAGAGAGCCCTATCTCCATGTCCCTGGAGAAGAGAACACAGGAGTCAGTTTGGACGATTTCATTCTTCTAATGTCTAAGAAGACACCAGTGTTTGTCTGAAGCCATCAGTTAAAAAGACCCCTGCATTGGGCCAGCATGCTTGGAAATGTGTCTAAAATATCAACCATTCTTCACTAAGTTGAATGAACTTATTAAAAAGACTTCCCCAGCTGGATGTGATAGTCCCGGGATTGTGTATGCAAATCAAAGCTCCCTAGAAATCTCTCATGGGTGAATCTATATTGGCATAAACAAATTATGTTATGAAGCCACCCTTCAATTTCCATACAAGCTTCTTTTGTTCTGTAAAGGGAGAAAGGGGTCGATATTGCAATGGGAGGAGAGAAAACTAAAAAGCGAAACCACTGTACGTGAAAGATAGTTTGATAACTGCTAGTGAAACACGGCATGGACCTCATACAAAGGAACCTAGCTGAACTCCCTCTTAGAGCTGCTGTGAGCGGGAGGCCTTGAAAGTTTAAGTAGTGTGTGACTCTCCGCAGCCCTGGATCTGCATTTCATTATGACATTCATTTCACACACAGAATCTCCCCGACCCTTACCTTAAGTTCATTATTCCTAAGTTCATTATTCCTAAGACATCCCAAATCATTAGCCTTACATCTTGCCACTGAGTTGCATCCGGGGTAGGATGGGATTCAGGAACTACGGGGAAGATGGAGAGGATCCTCTTTCTGGGGTTCTGTCGTACAGACACAGGACTTTTGGGTTTTGCCCTGAGTTACATTCAGTCTATTTTTCACACGAAAGTAGAGTAAGGGGACAATTCCCATATGTTCTTACTCCTCATTTATGTAACAGTTTGGATCTCATTGTCTTACCCCCGTACCTAGGACAGATGCCGTCAATGAACCTGTGGTATGATTATAGGAGGTGTGATTCTCCTTCTCCTTGATTTCATTGTAATCTAGGACAGAGAAGAAATCCAAGCAAATATGAGGATAAAATATCATCTAGTTTTACTCTAAAAAAAAACACACAATGGTTATCGATTCTGGCTAACGCTTAGGTTCATTTCTGTACGTCTCAATTTTCCTCCCTATAAAGGGAATTTTCTTAGTTTAAGGAAGTGGAGAAGCCTGGAGTTAATAAACAAAATGAGTTAATTGTTATAAATAATGAGGGTGTCAGCTTTCCTTTGCTGAATCGGAATCCTTTTTTCTTGGCTGCCTCACAGGCAATGCCTCCAAATCAAATTTTTTCACACGTGCTTCCAACATCGGACATGACAACTTATACACAAGGCAGGGCATTGTTTTTAGAACATTTCTGCCATGCCCAGAAATGCCCCCTCCCCACTGAGGTTTTCCTGATGCCCACCCTCGCTGTAAGGCAGCTGAAATATTAGCAGCTCGCTCACGAGATTCATAAACCTGCCATACGTTCATTGTTTTTTGGTTCTTGGTGTGATGTTTACATCTTACTAACACCTTTCCTCTCCCACATCCAAATGTGAAAACAAGATGAATGTTCATTGTGGAAAACGCAAGGAAGGTCATTTGAAAGACAATCTCCAAATCTAATATCTTAGAATGTCACAGGTAGGGTTGCCATATAAAATGCAGGCACTCAGTTAAATTCAAATTTCAGATAAATAGCAAATAATTTTTAATGTGACTATAACTATATCCCAGGCAATATTTGGGACCTATTTATGCTATTAAAAAAATGTTATTCTTTGTTGATCTGAAATTCAAATTTAACAGAGCATCCTGTATTCTCATGGTTATTTGCTAAATCTAGCAAATATCCATGAGACAGAGTCCAAAAGATACCAAGAGATTTTATATTTTTAGTTTCCTTGGTTATGCAGACAAAGAATATTAATTCAGTCGATGCTGGCAGAACGCCATGTGGGGCACTTTGGGAACTAAGGAGATAGGTAGGCAGGGAGGGAAAAAACTAATGGTAGTCTACAACATCTAACACAGCAGATGCATCTGAGCATGTACTGTAGCCGTTTGGGAGGGTCATAGATCATGTTCATGTCTGATCCTTGTTCGTAACGGCCCCTGAATTCAGATTTCAGCTCTGCCACTCCCTCCCCGCCCCCCTCCGCCCCGTGAGTGTGATTGAGGGCAAGTTATTTAACCACCTAAGACCAAAATTTCCCTAACTGTAAAATGGACATGACAATCAGTTTCTTCCTCATGGGATCGTAATTAGAATATACAATTGCTTAGAACAGTGCCCGGCACTGCTACCTTTTACTGTTATTATTAAGTCAATAATTAAAAGTCGGAAATTAGGTCTTGAAGAGGTGACTGTGGTCCAAGGGGCTAGGCAGGGAGAGAAGAGGCAGAGAGGGAACAAAGGCAAGTGACAAAATCAGCCAGGCCTGAGGCGTGGTAGGGATTTAGTAAACCGGATCTGTCCCAGAGAAATTCTAGAACTCCGGAATCTGGGGGGCTTTTCTTGTAACCCCAATGTGGCTTTGGCTGAGTAGGCTGAGCACATAGGAAGGGACAGCCATCAGCTGAGCAGATGCACAGGCATCTAACGTGTAGAAAGCCAAGCAACAGATTTTAAAGCAAAACAGCATGGGATCATTAAGCAATAGAGCATCTACAGTAGTGACATTGCAGGATTGATGATTGGCTCAAACCAGCCCCTTTCTTAGAAATGGAAATAAGGTCAGCCCCACTTCTCCAGGTTCTTCAGCTGAAACGGATCCCTGAGCAATGGGGGTTCTCCCAGGAAAGCAGGAGGGGAGGTCCATGTTGGGGAGGTGGCCGCACTTGGCCAGCCCCTAATCTTTCTGCTTCCGTCCCATTCCTCACGAGCTTGCCCAAGGCCTTTAGAGAATGCTGTAGCCTGTGCGTGGAGCATCCTTCCTCCTTCTCCAGCTAATTTCCGGTCACCCTCAGACCGTAGCGCATCACCTCTTTCTCAGTAAAGCCTTCCCCGATTGTCATGACCGGATCTAATTTCCTGGTTCAGCTTTTTCTTTTAAATACAGTTCCTCCTCTCCTGCCCCCTCCCCCCATAGCACTTATCACCGTTGAAATTATACAAGTTTGTGGAATTATTTGATTAGTATCTTTCTCTCCGTGAGGACACGTAACTTAGTCCTCATCAAGGAAGGGACTCGATGCATTTTTTATGAATAAATGAATAAATAATACTTTCTCATATTTTCTGAAGAAGAAAGCCAACTACTCGCCGGAGGCTACTTCCCCGTTAATCAGTCCTCTTTAATTTAATTACTATTTAAAGCTAAGACCCAAGACCGATTGGACACGTGTAAACACAGAACTTCATGAGCTCAGCCTTTTTGAGTTCACTGTTTATAAAAGGCAGAGGTTATTTTAAATCAAGGCATTTGTACCCTTTTAAATGGAACTGGGGTTATTCCAGGATCAACTACCACAAAAATAATTTCTATATTTTGGCCATTTAGCTCTTGATTTAAATTTAGAATATGTTCAATAAATGACTCCCCTTTAGTGTTCAAAAAACTCAGCACAGAAAATATTGTTTCTTTCATCAAATAGTAAAATTTATGTTATTTGCCAGCACCCTTTGGAGAGGTGGCACGCTGTGTGGAAAAAACACTAAGTAGAAACTGGAAGTCCAGACCTGAGGCCACACTGTGGCCCTTGATTGATGTTAGGCTCCAGTTTTCCCATTCAAGAAAATTCAGGCATTGGACCAGGTGGTCACTAAGACCCTTTCCGACATAAAAAAAAAAATACTATGATACTTCCTATATTTTTTCACACCCCATTTTTACTGCTAGATTTTTTTTTTTTCCCCCAGAAAATGTAGTCAAAGATCTGACATCCCTTGAATTTAAAGGGTTAGTGTCATAAGTTCCTGGAGCAAAAACCATAACATGAAGACACTTCAGATGAAGAGGTCCGGTCAGATGAACCACGTGGAAAAATTTTAATGCCAATATTCACTCATGTTGAGAGAAACGTAGACTATAATTCTCCTGACTTTCCCTTCATCCCATGACTCAGGCGGTGGCAGAGCAAAGGAAGAAACAGCCCAGCCATCGAAGAAGTCAAATATCCTAGAATGAGACCTCAAAGTGGCCACTCAGAAGAAGGGAAAGA